CCTCAGTTGCCCTTAGTTCCTATCACTCCAAAAGTAGGGTCCCATCGAGGGACTGGATAGATTCAGGGCAAGCTGTGAGCTATTCTGGCAACAAAAATTGTACGTTCAGATCTCATTTTATCTTTATACACACATACACAAAACAAGTCTTTACTGGATTTACCATTAGCTGATGGGAAATCTTCACCATAAAACCTTCCTGGGTCACATCATGTCAAATTCTTTAGCCAACTGCCTCTAGTAAATCTTTCAAAAAAGATGTGCAGATGTTAGCTGCCAAAAGTTCTACTATTCCTCCTTAAAAAAAAAAATCTGCAATTTTACTCTGCACACATGTATTGTATCTTTCTTAAAATTCCTTACCATTTAAACACACATCTCCCAATGTTTTTGTAGAGATAGTTGAGAGTAAGAAAAGCTCTCACTTATTTTATGGAGTGACATAAAAAAAAATCTATTGAAGTAAACACCATAATGGTACATGGTTTTATGTCAGCTCTACGCTTCAATAAAAGAAAAACAGCTGACTTTAGATGTCTCCTTCTCCTTCACAAATATACCCTCACCCTTTAGAGAACTTTAAAACAATAAAAATTTTAAATTTAAAAAAGGAAAATAACAACCACAAATCAACCTGAGTCTTTGTATACCTAACTGAAGGAAAAATGCCTTCCTTAAAGAACATTTTTCATATAAATGAGACAACTGCCAAATGATAATACATATTAAGTTAGGGATTAAAAGAACCTGTCAGTACTTTTTTGAAAAAAGTCCTACACCTTCTTCAATTTCATTTGTTTTCCATCTATCTCCATCCACAAAAGCTCAAACATGAAATCTGTTCAAGATCAAGATATTCTCATGGTCTCTCTAGAAAACAATGAAGTGGTCAAACAAAAGTGGTCAAACAAAACTATGTATATGGAAACTGGTCCCTTCTTGTTATAGTATAAAATATTAGCCACAAATATTATATGAATAAAATAGCACTTTTTATTTGTATGGTTAAATATCAAAATAAGCTTAATTATAATATTTAGTTAACATTCACAAATCTGGGGCAGAGCCTTATTCATAATACAATTTGATAAATTGGGTTATTGTTCTCAACCACAATTCAGTAAAATATGGATTCAGTGTGTTCACTGTCAGAGCTAAAGTATTCAATATAGAAGACAAAGGTGAGAAAGCAAAATTTAATATAAAATTTGGAATGCTTAACTGAAGTCTTTCAAGTCTTTCATGTAGTATATATGAAAAATATTTTTATCTAAAAAGTGATCACTAGAGCTGAAAATGGCATTTGCATAAATTTTCGGAGGGGACAAAGTAGTAAATAAAACCACTGCAGATACTTTACAATGAATACACTAACGTGGAGTTTTTCAGTAAATTTCAAAAAAGAAAGGAAAAATATTTTAGATTTTACAGGCCATGTAGTCTCAAACACAACTATTCAGCTTTGCAACTATAGCAATGCAACTGCTACACACAACCTGAAAATAAAAGAGTGTGGCTGTATTCTAATAAAACTTGAATTAAAAAACAAGTAGCCAACTCAGGTACCTTACCAACTCCCATACAATAATATAGAATCTTTGTTATGATTAATGTTTATACATATACAGCTATAATGCAGCACTGATATGATAAATGTCACTCCAAAGGATGCCCCTCCCACAATAATGTCTTTGGGGCCCAAGGAGATAGAATAGGGGTTAAGGCACTGGCCTGGAATATGGCTGACCATGGTTCATACTCCAGAACCAAATACAATTCCCCAAACACCACCAGGTATGCCACCCCAAGCCCAAATATAATAATAATGCTATTATTATTATTATTATTATTATTGGTTAGGAAGATATTAGCACTGTAGCACTGTCCTCCTGTTGTTTTTCGATTTGCTTGAGCAGATCCAGTAACGTCTCCATTGTGAGACTTGTTGTTACTGTGTTTGGCATATCGAATATGTCACGGGTAACCTGCCAGGCTTTGCAGTGCGGGCGAGATACTCCCGGTAGCATGCCAGGCTCTCCGAGAGGGGCGGAGGAATCGAACCCGGGGTCAGCTGCATGCAAGGCAAACACCTTACCTGCTGGGCCATCGCTCCAGCCCAGGAAGATATTATCACACGTATTAAAGAAAACAAAAACCTAATCTTAATTTTAAAAAGTCATATAAAAGAAAAATTAATCTAGATATCTCTCTGGCCACAAAAAAAAATCTTTCTTTTTGGGGGGTGGGGATGTGGGATGGGGGACAAAAAGGAAGTGGTAGAGTATAAAAAAGTAAAGAAGAATTAATATTAACTCTTCATTTGTATTCTCAGATCTATTTGCAAAACCTGTTAACATACAGAGTATAAAATGCATTTGTCCTAAAGAAGCAAATGACATATTTTTAAAAAGCAAACACTTTTTGTTTCAATTTCCAAAATCCCCTATGTGGGATTATAAACACATTTTTTAAGGATGCCAAAAAATTTTTTTAATTATTTATATTTTATTGAATCACTGTGAGATATAGTTACGAAACTTTCATCATTGAGTTTCAGTCATACAATGATCGAACAACCATCCCTCCACCAGTGCACATTTTCTACCACCAATGTCCCTAATATCCCCATTCTCCAATCCCAATCCTCCCCCTGCCTCTATGGCAAACAGTTTCACCTATAAGGGACACCCAAAATTTAAGTTACAAAATGATGATATAATATATTTTTAATGATATATTATATTTTACAAAATAATGATATATATTTGAACAATACTTTCATAAACAAAAAAAGACTTCATAAAATTATGACATTAAGAATTCTATTATCCATATCCTCTTTTTTCCCCTATCAATTCTGAATCCTTAATAGTAACTATGCCTTCCTACTACAGGAGCACAGACTCCAAAAAGGATTTGTTACGCATTGTTGGGATGGTACTACTGAACTGGAGGAGATCTCCAGGGAGTTCTGATCCCTTGATCCTTCTATTTCCTTCTTTCCCCACATTGGAATCCCCACTTCAAGAAATTCTTATATATACGTATACATACATATACACATATATGTGTATATACACATACATACATACACACATACATACGTGTGTGTGTGTGTGTGTTCTCTCAAAATATACAGAGGCAGATTTCTTCACTGATAAGGCAGAATTTAAACCTTCAAATATATTGAAAGAAACAATCAGCATCTTCCTTCAAAACAGTTAGGCTACATCATCAGAAATTAAATTTGCGGTCCAGAGACAGTATAGGGGATAAGGAGCTTGCCTTGCACATGACCAACCGGGGTTCAATCCCTGGTACTGCATATAATCCTCAAGCATCACCAGGAGTGATTCTAAAGCATAGAGCTAGGGATAAGCCCTGAGCTCAGCCAGAAAGGGCCCCCAAACAAAACACAGAAGTGAAAAATCAAAAACTTGAAATTTTTTTCTACATCTAAGGTAAGGTAAAGGCAAAGGCCCTCCCGTTGTTCGTCGATTTGCTCGAGCGGGCCCAGTAACGTCTCCATTGGAGACTTTGTTGTTACTGTGTTTGGCATATCGAATACGTCACGGGGAGCTTGCCAGGCCCTGCCGTGCGGGCGAGATACTCTCGGTAGCTTGCCAGTTCTCCAAGAGGGGCGGAGGAATTGAACTCAGGTCGGCCATGTTGGCTGCGTGCAAGGCAAATGCCCTACTGCTGTGCTATCGCTTACCTTTTTCTACATCTAAGAATAAAAATAATCAACACTAAAAAGACTTTCTCAGAAAAATATATGATGAACTCAATTAATTTAAACTACCAGATAGTATATAAATGAATACATAAGTTGGGCTCTAAGAAAACTTTATAATGGTTATAGCAGAGCAGCCTCACAGTAGTTTGTTGAGTCCCTACTCTAAACTTTAGCCCTGCTCTTAAAACAACACCAGATTACTTAAGAGTGTAGACATATAAAGTATTGGCCAAAGATACAGCTAAATGGGCTGAGGGCCTGTTTTGCATGATGGAGACCCAGGTTAATTCCACATGATCCCTAAGCACAGCCAGGAACAACTCTCTACCACACTACGGAGTCAGAAGTAGACCTGGGTCAAAATAAACAAAAAAAGATAAAACTCTCTAGATACAATTATTCCAATATATATATTTTCTATCTGCAAAGGTATTTCAAGAAGTTAAGATCAAAATTGCTGACAGTAAGAGAGAAAAGTCAATATAACAAACCTATACTTTAAAAAACATTTTTGTGTTATTTTTGAGCTATACCTGGCTGTGCCCTGAGTTTATGCCTGGCTCTGTGCTCAGGGATTACTCCTGAATTTAATTAACAGTGCTCCAGGGACCCTATGTGTTACAAGGAATTTGAACCCAGGTAGGCCACAGACAAGCCTTACCTGTTGTTCTATCTCTCTAGTCCCAGAAATTCTATTTGTATCATTTAAGTTACTCATCTAGCAATCACATTTCCTGGCCTCCAAGATTAGTACACAGACATTACATGAATACAATCAACAACTACTACCACTATTAGGCTGACGGTGCCATATGATAGCATAACAAAGTGCTAAGCAACTATAATATGCTTCAAAACTCAGTATGTTTCCACATACATCTCTTAATAAAGCCCCATTAATGGTCTTCTGAAGTGTATAAATAAAGCACTTGATGATACCCTCATTTACACAAAACTCAGCAGTAAGAGCACTAGAATTTGAATCTGTTGATACTAGATCGCCACACGTCTTTACTGCAGTTGACAGAGGCATTTGGATTGACTTGAAGTAAGTCCTATGTAGGATAGGAAAGCTGGGTCTCACAGAAAGAAAAGTAGTAGAAAGCTATCTCTGTTCTTTCAGTATGGGGAGACAAAATGTAACATAATACCTATCTGTGCTAAAGTGATGTTTCTTACAGGTCCTCTGAATGTTAACACAGCCCTAAAGTTAAACCAATGTCCTAAAATAACCTTAAAATTTTCTTATTTTTCTAGAACTTACCGAATCTTCTGGAGGTCTCTGAATTTTCCCCCAATCCACAGAAGGGCCCTTTTCTTGCAAAAATCTATGAAACAGTTTCCGGAATCCATCCAGGTCTTTTTTAGTGTGCTATGAAAATAGAAGGCATTGTTACAAATAGCAACAGGCTTATTATTACATAGACCTATTATTCATATGATTAACTTTTAATTAAATTCTTACACTATTAGGATATGGAGTACAGCAGAGATTTTTTTCTTTGTACTCCAACTTAAATAGAAAAAAAAACTAATAAAAACCACATTTAAAAGAATACGTGCAACAAGGCTTCCCTAGCTGACCAATATCATATAATTATTGATAACAATTGTTATTTACCACTTGATATATGAGACATTCCAACTGTTTTTCTACTATTATTCACCAGTATCTTAATATTCTTCTTTTCAGTGAAAAATTAACATTCACTAAATACATTAAAAGGAGCAAAATACATCAAACCTCAAAACATTACATACAAACAGAAAAATGAAAATAAAAGGAATTAGTATTCCAAAAAATTCCTTCTGTATTGAAAGTGCTATGGTTCTATTAGAATTTACTTTTTGTAAAAGGCAGGCAAGATTTATCAAATTAACTTCTCATGCTGATATCCACCTGAAGATATCACAACACAAAGTGTAATTCTGTTATGATTCTATGATTTTTATAATATAAACCTTCTAGAATTAAAAAAAGACTTAAAATAAAGGGTAAATAATTAAAGTCCTTAATTTGGCTTTGTTTTGTTTGGGGCCCAAAGCTGGCAGTGCTCATGGCTTACTCTTGGCTCTGAGCTCAGAGTTCACCCCTGGCAGGATTCTTGGGGAGCAATGTGTGGCATAAGGGAACGAACACAGGACAGTCACCTGTAAGGCAAGCACTGCACCTGCTGTGTATCATTCTGTCTCTAAAATCCTTACTTTTTAAGTAATCCTATTTTCTTTTTTAATGCTATATGACATCTTGTGCTTATTTCAGGATGGATGATAAGCTACGTATAAATTTTTTTTTTTTAAAAACACTAAAGTCTTTACCTCAACCTCATGTGATGGTGCTGTGGTGAGTATTTTTTCTAGTTCCTTCTTCACAGATAATTCAAGCTCTTGTCGAATGACTTCTTGGAACTGGGAAGCACCATCTTGAGACATAGCTTTGGTAAGATCTTGAATCAAAAATATAAAATTAATTAAAAATATCAAACACCTGGTAAGTAACAGCTAATTTGTTTCAAGCATTTTACGAAATGTAAAGGGCCCAAACCATGATTCCATCATTCTTTCACAAGATTTCTGCAATTGCAATATCAACTATTAGGATGATATGGATTCAAACATGACTCCATGCTTTCATCATGTATCTGAAGCACTAAACACTTTCTGGAAAAATGGGCAGTTGTATATTAGAGGCCCAATCTTTGTTTGTGTATATACTTTCACCTCTACTCTTTCCTCCTAGACACAAAATTTGGAGAAGTAAAGTAAAGGCCCTCCCGTTGATCATCGATTTGCTCAAGCGGGCCCAGTAACATCTCCATTGGAGACTTTGTTGTTACTGTGTCTGGCATATCGAATACATCACAGGGAGCTTGCCAGGCTCTGCCGTGCGGGCGAGATACTCTCGGTAGCTTCCCAGGCTCTCCAAGAGGGGCGGAGGAATTGAACTCGGGTCGGCCATGTTGGCTGCGTGCAAGGCAAATGCCCTACTGCTGTGCTATCGCTCCAGCCCCCAAATTAGAACAATTTGAATACTGTTTTACAGAAGTCACTCTTAGGGAACTTGTACCTTATAAGAGACCTGAAAGAATAACTAATTCTTTTCCCGATTGAAGCAAAAGTTTCTTCCTTCCATAGGACAAATGAAATATTTAAAATAATCCTTTTCATTTTTTATAAGGTGGGACAATAGAGATAAGGGCCAGGAGGATCAAACCATGGGTTGGAAGACGGCCCCACATGCTGGGGTAAGAGGCAGTTGAAACAAAGAAGGAACCACCAAGTAAGTGATGATTGGAGGGATCGTCCAGGATGGAAGATGTGTGCTGAAAGTAAACTAAGGACCAAACACGATGACCTCTTAGTATCTGTATTGCAAATCATAATGCACAAAATTAGAAAGAAACTAAAAAGGATTGTACCTGCAACAGAGGCAGGGAGTGGAGTGGGGTAGGGGTGGCGGGTGGGACACTGGGAACAACGGTGGTGGAAAATGTGCACTGGTGGAGGGATGGGTGCTAGAGAATAGTTTGACTAAAACACAATCATGCAAGTTTGTAACTGTATCTCATGGTGATACAATAAAACAAAAAAAAAATCCTTTCCATTTTAGAAAGGAAATCATTCCAGTTTCATATTCCTTACTAAAGAACCCCCTAATAACAGATACTTCTACTTTCCTGGCATTAAAACTTTTCCTTTAAAATGAGGAAACAGGGTTTGTGGTCAAAGGAAGAGCTCAGGGACTTAAAAGCTTGTCTTGCAAGCATAAGGTTGCAAGTTCAATCCTTGATGCTGACATGTGTGCGAAGCAAGGTCTTGGCTAGTTCTGCCAGTTACGTCTGGAAGCTGTGTAGTCTATGGTGCCTGGCTTTGTAAGCAATTTCTGGCCATATTACAGCCAGGTATGTGGAAGTGCCAAAATACAGAGGTGCAACCGCCAATGAACACTGCAATTAAAAATGTAGCAGCACCACAGCCAGGTACACAATCCCTGGCTACCACAAAATTAACTATGAAGATAAAGGATGGAGACAAAATACATTAAAAACTAAATGAGATGAGGGGTGGGATACGGCTGAGTGGCTAAAGCCTTGCAAGCATAAATTCAGTTTGACCACTCTCATTAGGCAAGAACAATCCTGGCAGCTCTGCTGTCTGGATTTCATGTGACACTGCAGTTAGGTGACTCTGAGTGCCATAGGTGGACAATGCCATGCCCAATAATAATGGCAACTAAAATAAAGACGTTCAGTACTGCAACCAGAAGTGGGAACTACAGCAAGCATGTGTGCAACACCACAGCACCTCCAGGTGAGCACTTCAATCAGAATGCAGAGTACCACAACAAAGCAAATCTGCAGCCTGTGGTTATTTCAACACCATCAATAGCATGCACTGGGGGCTGATTAGGAGGAGTTGAATGAATGAATGAATGAATGAATGGTGAATACAGTGAAAAGGGTATAAGGCTGCCTCCCAACTTCTGGTTCCCAATTTTTTCAAGACTTTTCGGTGCTTATGTAGGTTAGACAAGACTATAATTTAAACTTATAGCTTAGCGGGACCAAAAGATATGACAGACAGATGTCACTAGTGGTGACAGAAATGCCTCTAAGATGAAAACAAATAAAAAATAGAAAAGGAAAAGGGAAATAAAAATAGATGAGGTTACATTTCATTTCCTTGTCCCTTTTATCCACAATACCTAGTTTAATCTTACTTTATTTTATTTATTTATTTATTTATTTTTATTAGTGAGACGAAGTCATGAAATTTACATACAAGTGGTACTACATGGGACGTATCATGTTAAGCAAAACGACTCAGAAAGGGATAGACATAGAAAGATTGCATTCATCTGGGGAACATAAAGTAACAAAATAGGAGGCTAACACCCAAGAATGGCCGAGATTAATCTTACTTTATAAAGGTATTTTTAAGCTTATAGTCAAAGTTTGTTTACCAATTATTTCCATAAAATGTTGGTTAAGTTAGAAGAAATGTATTTCAATAAGCCCCAAAACACCTTATGAATTCTTTTGTGAGTTATCTGGGCAAAGGAAATATCTCTCTCTCTATATATATATACATATATATAGATATATACACACACACACATATATATATATGACTGAGCCAACAAAGTATTTGTAGAATACTTTGGAGGAAAAATTGGAAAAGTATATAAAATTCCTTAGACAATTTATTTAGTGTATACAACCTGTTACTCTCCCAATTATACAATGTTTTAAAATATAGAAATATTAATAACTGACTTAGTCAACATAGTCCCTCAAAATCATTTTGTATACTTTTAAACATATCAAAATACAATGTATATTTGGTGAAAACACAACATCTAATCCTAAAACAGTCTTTTTACAAGCCTAAAATGTATTATGACTAACTTTATGAACCCCAACAAAACTACCAAAATGACCCAAACTACGTTTCATAAACAACTTCTCTGTGAACTAAGGAATACCATAAGAAACACATGTGTGTGTCCCATAAACACCCTGAAGATGTTTCCCAGAGCAATAGCAATTGAATTAAATTTGTAAAAACCTATAAATGCATAGGTAAGTTTGCATAACTATAAAAGATAATTAAGAACTCCAATGGAGGGGTAGGAATGACTGTATGGTGTTTATCTTGCAGCCAACTTGGGTTTGGTCCCAGGCACCCCATTTCTTCCCCCTGAGCTTGCCAGAAGTGATCCCTGAGTGCAGAGCCAGGGATAAGCCAGGGATAATTTAAAATGTATAACCCTGCCTTCTGCCGCATGTATATCCAGGATACCAACTCCATCCTAATCCCCAACCCATCCCATCTTTAAGCCAATTACAAAATTAATATTTAGGAAATACTGTAGCAGAAAAATATTAAATCTCAACTAATGAACCATGAATAATTTGATTTTCTGTCACAAACAGTCAAGAACTAATAATTTTTATCTTTTTAAAACATATTTATTGTAATGAAGCAACAGGTTACTGTTAACACTTCCAATGTACAACTTTTTTGCTTTTCCAGTACCACCAAGGACCCAAAGAAACTAATGATTTTTTAACGTAATGGGTTTTGTTTTTGTTAGTTAAACTCAAAGACATCTATAGTCTTGCTGCCCCACTGTTGAAGTTGAATTATAAAAGGCAGCATTCACAGTGGCATTCCAAAAATAATAGTGACAGAAAAAAAAAAACATTTAACTTACTTATATTCTGGGTAAATGCCTAAGTAAGATATAACTAAATGTAACTGCTAAGTTTAAAAATAACCATAGTAGCTATTAGGAATTCTTCAAATGAGTACAGTCAAAAATTAAAAAAAAAAAAATTTTAAAAACCCTAACTTTAGAGACTCCCTCTAGAGCACAACAGAATCCTTTCAGAGCAGTATTTCAGCCTTTTTCTGACTGTGTCCCCCTTCTGACCTTACTTCTATTTTATGGCCACCTCTCTCTTACTAGTTGGTCCCCTCATCTAGTATCCCCCCAGTTACAAAATTTTCATTTGTAGCCCCTTTGAAATAATATGCACCACCACCCCCTTCTCCTCTCCCCCCAACTCTGGTTGAGAATCGCTGGTTGAGAGCAATAATTTTCAACACCCCTTCCCCAAACCTGCATACTGCATGTGTAAAGCAGATTGCAAATCCCTTATATAAGGTCAAAATCCAAAGAACCCACATAAGGAGTCTCCTTACTTAAGACTGACTAGCTCAGAGATTTACATATTACACGTGATCTTTGCCAGTTGCAGCAACTCCAACTATCAGACAGATTCAAAAACACATAGACAAGGATTCAAACTCATGTAGTAACAAATCACCCCCAATCATTATCCCTCCCATTTGTTTGAGATAGCGCCAAAAGCAAATGAACAACAATTTTATTCCTTCTATGCTCTTCACAACTACAGTTTAAAAAAACTATCTCCCCTTCCACCGCATCCCACCACTTTTTCCTCCTGCTTCCCTGGTCAAAGACCTACTGTGAAGTTGTTTTAATGATTTAAAAATAATGAAGGACTTTTAAGGAATAAAAAATGTGGACCGTCTTTAATCAATAAGAGCCACTATTTTAAGCATTTGGCTCAAAGCAGAAGGAACAGAATTAGAAACCATTTCCTTTGCTATCACCTGCTGAAATCATCCTTAATTTTTTTTTTAAGTCTGACATTTCTGGTAGAAAAAGTACAGATTTTATAAGCTTTCTTGGACTAAACACTCTCAAGCTACACTGCTGGCAACAACTGTAATTCTAAGGGAAGGTCAATTAAAGAATCCCCTGAATAATGCAAAATTTCTATCCTCCTAAAATGTCTTGTCCTTCTCACTTCTTAGCAAGAGAACTGATCCTCCTAGACTTTAGACAGGGTGGAATAGGAACCAAAAATTTCATCAACGCAGTCATAATAAAACATTTTTAGAAATACAAGGAAGT